TTTTTAATTTGTCTTTGTTAACACCTGTTCTTACAACTGTGTGTCACTGAAAACACGCTCCTAAAAATATTTCAGTAAAGAATGGCTCACCTGTTTGTGAATTAATTTCAAGAGTGATACGGATATCACAGTAATTTAAAACCAGGTTGAGCTTTTTCCCTTTCTCTTTTTTACTGGGATAGCTCTCAGATTAAATACATCGAAGTCGATTGAGTCATTTCAGATTTTCCCCAGCACGCATTTTTGGAGCTTAGAAAACAAATACCAGAAGAAAAATAAAAAATCAGACAACCTCCCAAAGCTGAAATTGCCCTTTCTATTCAAATGCAGTGCTATACCCAAAACTGAAATTGTCACACAGCCCGTTAATCTCCATTACAAAACATGTTCTTTATTTAGTAAAATTACAGCATTTGGTTGAATGATAACAGTATTTACATACTGGTTTATGAGCTCCTGAGATGTTTCTCAAGCAAATAAAATAAGAGAATAGGTTATGGTTTATTGAAATAAGAGAACTGCATTGTTCCTAGGAGAACAACATACTGCTGCTATTATTGCTCCTATGCTACAAACATTTAAAACAATGCTGTACTTTAAAGGATTCAAAGCACATATCATCTACCAAAATAGGACTAAATCAGTGGTGCATGCAGAATAGCCCTCAGTGATGACAAAGGCAACCCAAAGAATCTACAGGAAACATCCAAATTTATAAAATTCAAAAAGAGTCCTCCTGAAAACAACACACGAAATTTTGCACTGTGGAATTTTTGCTTGGTGGAATAGTCTAAATCCAGAAACTGAGAAAACCTAGGGAAAAAATGGTTTTTAAAGAAAAGGACATCACAAACCTATTGTTGTCACTATTAATGATGTCACATCCCTACTTGTGGAGCACTACTCAAATTAAAACCTAGCACAAAAAGCAACACCCCTCAATTTACTAGTAGAGAAAGGATTAGGATAAATAGATGACATGATAAAAAATTCCAAAGGGTTCTGGAAAATAGCAAATACCCTCAGTACTTCAACAGCAAGAAAAGAAGAACAAGTACCTACATAGCTGCAATTTTCTATTATTAAATATTAAGCATCATGTAAACATTTGCACACAGCATCATCCAATGATGTAAGAGCTGTCTTTTTTTTTTTTCAGCAAGATATTCTCTCTTGACCGACTCACCTCTAAGACCAAGAGCTCGGTTCCAAAAAAACCAAGCATTTTTCTCAGGTTTAAAAGCTTCTTATGTACTTTTCCTTTTTAATAAGACAGTAGTTCTCTATTAAAGTACAGCTTATTCAATTATGACTGTTTCTAAGGGGACTAACACAACATTAAGCCTTAGACAGTAGCATGGGTAGAAGTCCATGGATGGCAAAGCCTGCAAAGTGAAATGAATTGCAACAACAGTCCTAGGCCAGGGCCAGGGCTGGTGAGTGAAACATTCCTCCTCCTGACCATGGCAAACCACAACCCCTGCCTGCAGAACACACACACACACACACACACTCACACTGCCATTCACCCTGCTGGACAGTGGCTGGTCTTCAGGAAATCTGAACAATCAGCGGCAGCATTAAAAAACATCCTTTTGGGAACTTTTTATCCATTGCCTGCTTTTTCCATGTATGGTGTCAATGCTCTAACAATCAGTTTTGATATCAAACTGCAGGTGATTTTCCAAAACATGCAAGGATAAGGCATGCTCCCACATATTGAATAAATCAGGTAACAACTCCCCATTTGCAAGATGCTTTTGGTAACTCCAGCAGTTATGTTTTCAAGTTAAGTGTTCTACGCAGCAACTAATACAGCCTAACCTTTGCAAAATAAAACCCAAGTTATGTAAGGATCTGGCGGTGCAAACAGGTTTGCCTATCAAGCAATGAAGTGTTTTGAAATGATGGCGTTGTAATAACTAAAGCTTCATTTAAGATTTTATTCCACAGCAAACTTTCCCCACTTCTTCATCAACAGTCCTGTCTTTCATTTTGTTTTCTTCATTCCCTGTGTACACAGGTTATTATAAACCCTGAAGTATCACAGCAGCTTTGCAGCAGGTGCAGCTATGAAAATAAAGGATACAAAACAAATATTGGTAGTGTTTGCAAAGTCAAAAAATAAGGATTTTTACAGTTAGACAGGGGAGTGTGTACATTTATCTAAGGATCTGTGTATCTGTTTCACTTCTCCATTCAGCGTGAGAGTCCAGACCTGCCCGCTTCCAACACATGGAAGAATCCTGACCCAAACAGGTACATTTTTGAACTCAGTACACAGCTGAGCATATGAGCTTATAAACCAGCAGTTCTAAAAATAATTTCACCTATACTAGTCACACATTAAGGTCACGTTGTTGCCACAAGATATAAAGGACCATATGAAAAAAAAAAGGGGCAAGAAACCAAATGCTATTCCAATAGCTTTAGAAACAAAACAAACCTGCAAGTCTATAGGGACCCCATCACCTAATCCATCAAGTCCTGATTTGAAGGAGGCCAAAACGTTGATACTGTCATGTTTCCCCGCGTGGTTCTGTATCTCCAGGTTTTAACTATTAGAAAGGCACAATCAGCTGGTGTGTAGTGTGTAGGTCAATTTACTTCCAATACGCTAATTTATGCAACATTAGCACAGAATGCCAGCTCCAATTCTCTTACTGTTTGCACTCTAGGAGTAGACTTGTATTTTCTGCCAACTCCATTACATCATCCGAAAAAACCCAAACACTTCTTTTTTTTTTTTTTTTCATCCCCCCCCCCAAACCCCTGCCACTCTCCTTTTCCTTCTGCCTCCCCCAGCCCTCCGGGAGCTGGCTGCCGTGCGCTGTGCGCTGTGCGCGGCGGCGGGGCCGTGTCCATTGTGTGCGGGGATGCCTCCCTTCCCTCCATCACTGACCTTCGCCTCCCCACTCGCGCTGTTACATAACGCGGTGCCTGCTGCGAGCGGCCACCGCCAGCCCGGGCGAGTGGCCGCCGCCGCCCGACCGCCCTTCCCCGTCCCCGGCGAGTCCCCGGGGAGGAGGGACATGTGGGTCAGCGGGTTAGCAGTACCAGAGCCCAAACAATTCGGGACCGCCGAGAAAACACCCTCCACCGCCGGAGCCGCCCGGGCTTCCCAGCACCCCCCTCTCTCTCTCTCTCTCCTCTTCGCATCCATGGAGAAGCGACAGCCGAGCGTTACATAATTGATGGGATCCCGAAGTTGCCCCCCTCCCCGGGCCGGTGCGGGTCCCTCCCGCCGGCCCCGCGCCCCGGCAGCACCATCTGCCCGCGCCGCCGGAGCCTGGGCCGGGAGCGCCGGGAGAGGGGGGGCCGTTGTGTAACACCCGCCAACTACGGCCGCTCCGCAAACATCCAGAAAACTCCCCGACAAATTAAGGAAATTTTCTCCAGTGTTTCTGATTAACCTCGTTACATAAGGCGCTTGCATTCCAAATCCACTCTCGCAAGCTCTAAATATACCCCGCGCAGCCAAACGCTCCCTGAACACACGCCCGTGGCCACCCGGCCTCCTCCGGCCGAGCCCGCTCCTCCTCGCCTCGGCATCCGCCGAACGGCGCGCTCCCCGCTCGCAAATCGCCTCTAATTAAATGTTTCGGCGTGTGTCATCTCGATGGCTTTTACTGTACGCGGATTCCCTGAGTGGGAAGCTGCCTGGGAAGGGGGGGTGTGGCCAAAAGGGGAAAAATACTGTAAAACACAAGCCAACACATGATCAGCCATATTCCAACCTACAACCCAAACCCCCTCCGTCCGAGGAGAGCCCGTCTCCCCACCGCCAGCGCCCGGGCATCGCTGCCCCGGCCCCGCCGGCGGCCGCCGAGGGGGCTGCCGCTCCCGCCGGGCACGTACTTTTTCACCGCCCGTCATATCCTTCAACAGCCGTGTGTATTATTACATAGCGTTATTTAATTCATTTTTACCCATCACCGAGGGATTTTACCGAGCGAAGCCTCTCTAGCGCGCTCCCCCCTCTTGGAGGGAGCAACGCTTCATAAATTATTTACAAGTAATTAAAGCGGCAGCCTCCTCCCTCTCGCACGTCTCGGCAAACTCCGGCGCTGTTTGAAGCCGGGCCCGTGTCGGTGCCCGCGGCGGGAGCAGCCCGGCCCCGCACGGCCCCGCACCCCCCGCACCCCCCGCAGCCCTCCCGCCGCCGGGGCGGCTCGGGCAGCACCAAACTTCCACCGCCCTGAGCCCCCTCAGAGCTGACCCGCACGGCCACGAGACGCAACCTGAGGCAGGAGAGGGCTTGACAGCTGGCCACAGAAAAGGGGGCTCGGCTGTTGGCAGCGCTTCTATTCGGGGAGGGCCGGCGGGGAGCGGCTGGGAAGCCGCGGGCGCAGAGAGACCCTCTGCGAAGTTGTGCACCTTCAACAACGGCATCTACGAGATCATCCGCTCCGCGGTGAAATAATTTTTAAGATACACTTAAATGAATTAAGAGAAAACAGCGCGCAAGAGAGTGAATAAGTCACCCGCAAACCGCAAATCTCCTGTTTAATCACAGATCCCCCATTCACAACAAGCCACAGCACACCAGTTGAGAAACTGTCAAAAGGAGACAGACGAGGGGGAGAAAAAAGGGGGGGAGGAAGGACACTGCAGCTTTAAAAGTTTGTTCCCTTGAATCCCAATACTCCTGCTGTTGCTTTATATATTTATAAAATTATGTAATTTCAGGGGCACAGTACCCATCCGGATACCACAGGCAAAAAACGAGGGAGATAGGAAAGCACCAAACACCGCTCAATATTTTCATTGCATTTGTCCCTCCTCCTGCAGCAATTAAAAGAAGCTATAAAAGTTTGCAAGGTTTTGCAGGGGGGTAGAAGCTCGGCTTGTTTGCGTGCGCGGCTCCAACGAGCACGAGCAATAAACCAGGGGATTAAATTGCTGCATTTCCCCCTTCTCTCTTGCCCCCCTCTTCCTATTCCCACCCACCCCCCGATCCCACTCCCCCGGCCCCCTCCCCCTTCCCCAAGTCTCCCTACCTCTGCTGCTGCTGCTGCTGGAGTAGCTCTGCCTGCGGACGGGAGCCGGCGCATCGCTTTTCCGGGCAGGCTCCAGGTTCACCGGGGTGTCCCTGGCGCCGGCGGCCGCCTCGGAGACGCTGCTGCCCGGCTCACTGGCTGCTGGATCGGGGGCTGCCGGAGCGGACTCCATGTTTTTCCCAATGTAGATCGCTTGGAGATGGCGAGCTCCTACACTCCCTCTATCTTCTGTTTCCAGCGCAACTCTATGGTAGGGAAGCAGAAGGGAGAGAGCGAGCGTGATCCAGATGGGATGTGAGCTTGCCTGGCTGTGACCACAAGCAGCGCTAGCGAGAGCTGCACACCCCCCCGCCCCCGCACCCCCCGCGCTCCGCCAGCCCCGCGCCCCGCGCCGGCACCGCCGCCCCCCGAGCGGCCCCAGCGCGGGACCCGCGCCCGCGGGAGGGGGCGGCGGCCACAGCGGGGCCCCCGCGGCCCCCGAGCGGGGCCGGGGCTCGGGAAGGTGCTGCCGCCGGCCGGGGCGGGCGGGGAGCCAGCCCGACCTCCGCCGGGGCTGGGACTGATGCTCGACGCGGCGGTGGGGCCCGGCCAGCGAGGCCACCGGGCCCACGAGGAGCTCTCCGCTCCAGCCCCAGTACCAGCGGGAAGAGCTTCCGAGCGGGGCTGTCTTCCCCCCCCCCATGACTGTTGCAGCTGAAGCCGCATCAGAAGATGCCAGCTGTACTAAGCGTCTCAAGACCCACATGTTTAGCAGCCGCGCAGCCGGAGAAGGCAACATTTCAGACAATACCTCTCTCTCAATGAAGTGCGCTTTGACACAGAACAAAAGGTGACTAGCAAGGTGCCAGGAGACCTCCAGATCTGGTCTGACTTCTGTGAGCACCCTTGTGCAGTTCACAGCCTCGGCAATGGTCAACTCCTTGTCTACTACCTGATGTTAAAATCAAGTAGCAGCTGCCACCAACAGTGTATGGGAGAACACATCCCTCCTGTGTAGCAGAGGCCATGTTACATGCAGTCCGACTGCCTCCTGCACAGAAGGTGCTAAAGCTGCCTGCTTTGACTGCTCTGACTAGAACCACGTCCTGAGTAGACCAAATAATGACATTTTCACTGAAAGCAGTTCAAGCTTTTTCCAAATGGTACTGGATCATGTGCAAGCAGCTGATATGCCACCTTCTGCCAAACAGGACTGTTGCTACAGCTTTCAACACTGTTGATGCTGGTACCTGATGAAACTTGTAGGTAAACCCTGGACAATTCCACATTCTGCAGTTTAATCACCAGTACTGCAGTGCTCTGCCACAGATGCAGGCTGCTCGAACAGCTGTGAGACGTACCACAAGTCCTACCTGCCCCAGGAGCTCGTCCACAAATTGGATTACATCTTGCACTGCTGGCAGTTCTTTTGGTGGAAGGGCGGAGTCTTGGGTCAGTTGATTTGGAGGGTCCTGGAGTTCCGATTACCCGTATCTGGAAAAGAAGCACCACAGTAGTTCTGATTATCTTATTGTCTACCTCCTGAGAGGGGTGGGCAGAGATTGCAGAAGACAGAGTAACATTAAAAACGATTCTGCATTTATTTTCAGAGCATGAATAAATGTGAAGGGATCAGAGCTGGGCTTACAGACCTTGCCCACTGAGTAAACCAGCACTTGATCTTTGTGATTAAGGACTGGGTTAGGGCAGGCCTGGAAGCCCCTGGGGCATGGACACAAAAGCTTACGAGCTTTTCACCATTGTGAAGTTAAACTGTGTCAAGCCCCATGGAAGCTGTTCCTAGAGAGCAGCTGGGAAGGGGAGCACTGGAAGGGGATGAGGGAGGCAGGAGCACAGTTTGCTCCCTGGGCCTTGTCTGAGTCTGCAGGAACGTCCCTGGAACACAGGCTGGCACAGACAGGGGTCACATCCCAGCATGGTCTCACTGGCAGCCACAGCAGGCAGCGAGGTGGTCCTTCTCTGAGGCAAGTTCAGTGGATCAGACCTGCAATTTCCTGCAAAGTCTCTCCCCTCTCTTTTCACTAATTGGCAGCCTCCAAACACAAGCAAGAATTATGTGATCTGTGGAAAGCGAACTGCCTGTTAGCCCAAGAGAAAGCTTATCCCTCTCTCCTCAGATCAGGGTTTAAGCAGGCTGACCAGGCGATGTGTGTTGGGAATCTTGCCCAGCTAATAAAAAAAGAACTTCATTCCTCAAAGCTGCCAGACCACTGCCTTTCACCAGTGCTGGGAACAATTGGACTACTTGCCACAGTAAGGATTATTCACGTGAGTGTTTTGCAGGACTGGTTTTAGTATTGCACATACTTCAAATTATCCCAGTGCAGTGTGGTTTTTTCTCTTCTCCTTTTACCTGTTAAAGGCCACTGATATTCACTACACCTGTCTTAGCTATGCAATTATCATTTTGTGCATCTTTTTCCCCATTTTCTAAAACCAAATAATGTTTCAAATTACTTAGAGGAGAAAGGAGAAGGTTACAACGGGACAACATACAGTAGAGCTTTGGTTTTTAAAAGAAATTGAGAGGGAGGGGAAATCACTGGAGTAAACCCAAGTGCCTAGAACATCTGAATCAATGGAGAAGAAAAATTAATTTTATGTTGTTTAACAATGTCTCGTAAGTCACTAGCAATTAGAACCAGCTAAAGCACAACAGATCTGTAGCATGTTTGTAGAGGCAACAATCTAAGAGGTTTTGTAGAACCTACTCAAGCAAAAAGACAAAACAGCTTTGCTCTTGCAAAAAGAGAGGGTGCCTGAAAACTGAAAGCACCATGAGCAAAGAAAATAGGGTGACAGTTCATGTGAGCTTTATCTAATGGATGAAAACCATCACAACTTTTGTCAAAACCTCCCTCTCCACGAACCTGTTCTGCGAAGACATTTCCTGAGCGTAGAAAAGGTCTTACTCGTCTTTCAGTCTTCTATTTCTAGCTTCCAACCCATACTAAAATGGTTCATTAACTTTGATCACTAAGCTTGTTTCAACAAGTGAGATGGCATTAGCAGCAAAGACAGGTATGCTGAGAAACTTGAGGATAAATGTTTAGTTAGGTTTAAAAGGACTTTAGAAACTGCTGCAGATGTTACCTGCAGCAGATCCTACCAGAAGTAACAGTAATGGAACAAAAGGGGACAAGTATCCCCAAACATCTCTTACTGATTTTATTGATTTCATGTAGATACGGTGACTAATAATTTTTAGAAATTTAATTTAAAAAATTCACACAAATCTTATGTGATTCTGAAGTAGACAAGATATAAAGATCACATGGACACTTTTTCAGAGCACTGACACAGCAACAGAGGAAGTGGCAGGAGGGCTACAATGCACACAAATACACAGGAAGAGACTCTTTCCAGGTACACAGAGCACACACACACATGCAAGAAAATCATAATTCACATGAGAACAGTACAACACCATTTTGTGTGGTGTTCACTGCCCATTAATATGCAAGTCTGTTTTGAACCTAAGGTAGTCAATAAGGGTCTTCCACATACATAACTAATACAGCTGTTGAAATATTTCCCTTCAGAAAGAATGCCAAGTACATTCCTAACACAGCAGTTACATAGAACCGTCGAATATCTCAAGTTGGAAGGGACCCATAAGGAGCATTGAGTCCAACTCCCTGCTCCTTGATGACAGTCTACAACTAAATCAGATGACTAAGGGCATTGTCCAGACTCTTGTATAACAGCCCACAGTCTGGGCTCTGGGCTACCTCTGGCCACACCACACACACACCAAGGGGACTGTCAAACCTTCCTGGGAAGCTTTGTCAGCTCCAGTCCAGCAGTTGCAGACAATATACTGTGCAGAGATGAATAACCATGAGGGCAATGCCTGAATAATATCGCAGAGTTACAGCTGTTCCTCCTGCACAACAAGTTGCCAGGGCTAAGGCACATTTGCCTCCGTTGGGCACATTCCCCTCCCTGTGGGTTTGATGTCTTTGCAGGAAAAAAGGAAGCAAAACGTTCATGGGTTGAGGACATTCAGAAGAGCAAGTTTCAGAGTGAAGCAAGGTGTAGGACACCTCCTAGTCTTCAGTACAAGTCTGATGTCATCATGCTTGTAGACCAATCTTCAAAGGAGGATTTAAAATATATGCATCTATTATTTGGAATGATATTCTGTGGCATATCTTTTAATGGTTTACAAAGCTTTAGTTAATTAAATTTCACAGTAGGACAAGAAACTGCTTCCACTAGAAACTGTTTCTAGTGGAATATAGGATATTTCAGGATAATACCTGAAAGCAACTTTCTCAAAATTATGCACCCCATTAAGCTTCAGCAAAAACAGGCAGACTAGTAAACTACATGTATGAAACCTGAATATTTGGCAGTAATTAAATTAAACACTACTTGAACAGCATTCTCTTGTGTCCTGGATGAAAACAAAATTAAAAAAAATAATAACAGGAGAGAAATAAGACAACTGTGCTGGAGGCACTGTGACTGGGTGCGGTTTCAGTGGACCCTTTCCCACAACCTTTATCTCTAAGCAAAGTGGAAAGCTCATCAAACAGTTCATCTGGAATTTACACTCACAGATATAATTTTGTTTGTTTTAAAGACTGAGGAGCAATTGTTAACTAGCACAGCACAGATTCAGCGGAATCTCCTTCTTCCTGCTGCAAACTCCTCGTGTAAACTATGAGCTGCTTTTCATTGTTGGTTAAGCCTCTATTTCCACTTCCCTCTCCTGCCATTTGGATTCATTCCTTACTGGATTTTTCTGTTTCTGAAAGAAACTGGAGAAGCACCCAACATACGAGGTAATGAATCCTTTGTGCTTTTATCTGTACAGCTCTGTGCCCATAATCAGCATCCCCTGATATACAGAGTAAGCATCAATAGCAAGGCCAGTTCTTAAGAATTCAATACTTTTTGTGAATGAATTAAGGCAAAAGGCCCAGAGATATCTACCTTTTTCAGCAAGCTGTTTTTGCTGCTGTTTTCTTGAAGATGGTTAAAAAAATGACTGAATATTTTCCTGTAGCCAGATGAAGACCTCTCTCACATTTCATACACTTGCAGACAACCTCTTCCTCCCACAAAGGTAAGCTAATTGAATTAGAGGAGCAACTCAGCCTGCCCATGTTCCCTGGAGAATCGAAGGGAAACAGGGAAGAGAAAAATCTGATCTAAAGATACATTTTTCATCTCAAGAAAATGGAAGCTTTTTTTAGTGAAGATCAGCAAATGAGACGCCATCTCTGAAATCTTGTATCACTTGCAGTCCAAAGTGGGGGTGGTTGTTTTCTAATTAACTCTTGCTTCAGT